TTAAAGAGAGAGTGGAAGGGAAGAGGAGAAAGAGAGAGAAACACAGAGAGACAAACATCAACACAAGAGACACATCCAGCGGCTGCCTCCCAACGGGCCCCTGACAGACCCATCAATCACCCAGGCACACACCCTCGGCCGGAATCGAACCCGGGATCCGTCCGTCTGCAGGCCTGATGCTTCTGTCCACCGAGATGAGCTATATGGTGTCTTGGGATCTGCATTGCAAGGATGCTGTGAAGATTTTATTCTTTTCGGTTTTTCCTTCATTATTATGATTTTGTTTATATGATTATTATTTTTAAAAATATATATATTTTATTGATTTTGTACAGAGAGGAAGGGAGAGAGATAGAGATTTAGAAACATCGATGAGAGAGAATCATCGATCAGCTGCCTCTTGCAAGTCCCCCTCTGGGGATGTGCCCTCAGCCACCAAGGTCCCTGCCCTTGACCGGCAATCGAACCCGGGACCCTGCAGTCCCCAGGCCGACGCTCTGTCCACTGAGCCAAACCGGTCTCGGCTGTTTATATTATTGATGTCCCTGACATAGACGAAGGCAGAGGGAGAGAGAGAGAGACAGGAACATCCATGAGGAGACAGAATCATGGACCGGCTGCCTCCTGCACGCTCCCCACTGGGGATGGAGCCCACAACACGGGCCTGTGCCCTTGACCGGGAATCGAACCCTGGACCCTTCAGTTTGCAGGCTGACGCACTACCCACTGAGCTACACCAGCCAGGGCTGGGTTTATGTCTTTAAACATATATATATATATTTTTTTAAATGTGTTTTGTTTTTCTTTTTCTAATATTATTTGTATTGATTACAGAGAGGAAGGGAGACAGAGAAAAAGAGAGAGAAACATCTATGATGAGAGAGAAAATCATGGACTGGTCGCCTCCAGCACGCCCCCTACTGGTTGGCGATGGAGCCCACAACCCGGGCCTGTGCCCTTGACCGGGAATCGAACCCTTGACCTCCTGGTTCACAGGTCAACACTCAACCACGGAGCCACGCCGGTCGGGGTGAGCTCATCCTTTGCTTTTAAAGAATGTGGGTGAGCCCTGACCGGTGCAGCTCAGTGGATAGAGCGTCGGCCTGCAGACAGAAGGGTCCCGGGTTCGATTCCCGGTCAGGGGCATGGACCTTGGTGGTGGACACATCCCCAGTGGGGGGCGTGCAGGAGGCAGCTCATCGATGACTCTCTCATCGATGTTTCTGACTCTCTCTCCCTCTCCCTTCCTCTCTGTAAAAAAAAAAAATCAATATAATATATATATATATATATTTAAATATATTTTATTGATTTTATACAGAGAGGAAGGGAGAGAGATAGTTAGAAACATCGATGAGAGAGTCATCGATCAGCTGCCTCCTGCACAACCCCCACTGGGGATGTGCCCTCAGCCACCAAGGTCCATGCCCCCGACCAGAATCGAACCCGGGACCCTTCAGTCCCCAAGCCGACGCTCTATCCACTGAGCCAAACCGGTTCCGGCAATATAATATATTTTTTTAAAAATGAAGAAATACAGAATGCGGGTGAGGTGTTTGGGGGGACCGGGAGTTAGACATAGAAAAGGGGAGAGCATCGGGGACCGTCGAGTGGCCGGAGGCCGCCATGGGCCACGGCGGACACCACGTGGCCTGTGGATTGGAGCCTCGGACCCGGGCGTGGGGCACTGGGCCAGGATGGGGCGGCGGCCGCAGGACCGGTCCCGCCCCCGCTGGCTGCTTCCGGCCAGCTGGCACCCTGGCATGACTTCCATCCACTCTGTAAGGGGCAAGGAGCTCCTCGCCCGGCCGGCCAGGCTCCGTGGCTGAGGTTCGACCTGTGAACCAGGAGGTCACGGGTTCGATTCCCGGCCAAGGGCACAGGCCCGGGTTGTGGGCTCCGTCCCCAACCAGCAGGGGGCGTGCGGGAGGCAGCCGGTCCGTGGTTCTCTCTTGTCATGGATGTTTCTCTCTCTCCCTCTCCCTTTCTCTCTGAAATAAATTAAAATAAATTAGGTAGATGATAGATAGATAGGTAGGTAGAAGGTAGAGATAGATGATAGATAGATGAATAGATAGATAGATGATAGATAGGTAGATGGTAGAGATGATAGAAATAGATGAATAGATACATAGATAGATGAATAGATAGATAGATAGATAGATAGATAGATGATAGATAGGTAGATGGTGGAGATAGATGATAGAGATAGATAGATAGATGGATAGATAGATGATAGATAGGTAGATGGTAGAGATAGATGATAGAGATAGATAGATAGATAGATAGATGAATAGATAGATAGATGATAGATAGGTAGATGGTGGAGATAGATGATAGAGATAGATAGATAGATAGATAGATAGATGAATAGATAGATAGATGATAGATAGGTAGATGGTGGAGATAGATGATAGAGATAGATAGATAGATAGATGAATAGATAGATGATAGATAGGTAGATGGTAGAGATAGATAGAGATAGATAGATAGATGAATAGATACATAGATAGATGATAGGTAGATGGTAGAGATAGATGATAGAGACAGACAGATAGATAGATAGATAGATAGATAAACATGATACATAGAGTGAGTTCTACATTGCCTGCTCAGCATGGCTCAGTGGTTAAGCATCAACCTGTGAACCAGGAGGTCAGGGTTCGATTCCCGGCCAAGGACACAGGCCTGGGCTGCAGGCTCCGTCCCCAGGAGGGGGCGTGCGGGAGGCAGCCGGTCCGTGATTCTCTTTTCTCCTGCATGTTTCTATCTCCCTTTCTCCCCCCCGCCCCTTCTTCTCCGAAATCAATCCTATCTAATAAAGTGGTGAAAATTTTTTTTTTTATAAAATCAGTAAAATATGCTGAAACCGGTTTGGCTCAGTGGATAGAGCGTCGGCCTGCGGACTGAAGGGTCCCGGGTTCGATTCTGGTCGGGGGCATGGACCTTGGTTGCGGGCACGTCCCCGGTGGGGGGTGTGCAAGAGGCAGCTGATCGATGATTCTCTCTCATTGACCTTTCTAGCTCTCTATCTGTCTCCCTTCCTCTCTGTAAAAAAATCAATAAAATATATTAAAAAAATAAATCAATAACATATATATATATAAAAAAGAGATAGAGAGAAAGGGAGAGAGAGAGAGAGAGAGATCAAGTAGAGCCTCCCAGTTGCTCTGCAGTTTCGGAAGCTGAGTCCTGGCCTGCTGATCGCTGATCCCTTTTCAAACAGGCCTTTTGTCCGAGGAAACGCACAGCAATGCGATTGTCACAACAGGAAAGACACTAGCTTTGGTGTCTCTCTGTCTCCAGAACAAAGGGGAGGAACTCTGTAGCCGACGCGCCCTTGTCTGTGGGCTGAGTTTGTGAAGGGGTGCATACCCTGAGTCCGCCCTTCATCCCTCCCCCCCACCCACAAAAAAATATATATATGTGGGAGTTCCAACTCCCGGAAACTAAGAGAGGGGCCTTATTTTTATTTATTTTATTTTTAAAATACTTTATTGATTTTTCACAGAGAGGAAGAGAGAGGGACAGAGAGTTAGAAACATCGATGAGAGAGAGACATCCGATCAGCTGCCTCCTGCACCCCCCTTACCGTGGACCTGCCCGCAACCCCAAGGTCCGTGCCCTTGACCGGGAATCGAACCTGGGACCTTTCAGTCCGCAGGCTGACGCTCTATCCGCTGAGCCAAACCGGTCTCGGTTAGAGTGGCCATATTTAACTACTAGAGACCTGGTGCATGAATTTGTGCAGGGGTGGGGTCCCCCAGCCTGGCTGCCGATGGGGGCCGATCAGGGCTGGCTGGCAGGAGAGGGGGGTGGGGAGGGACCATGGGAGGTTGGCAGGCTGCAGGAGGTGGGCTGTGGACAGCATTGAGCATCTGCCCCCTGGTGGTCAGTACGTGTTATAGCTACTGGCCAGTTGGCCGGCCGGCCAGACATCCAGTCGTAATGACCGGTAAGAGTTTTTTTTTATTGTAATATATGTTATTGATTTTTTTTTACAGAGAGGAAGATAGAGGGACAGAAAGCTAGATACATCGATGAGAGAGAAACGTCGACCGGTTGCCTCCTGTACACCCCCCACCGGGGACGTGCCCGCAACCAAGGTACATGCCCTTGACTGGAATCGAACCCGGGACCCTTCAGTCTGCATGCTGACGCTCTACCCAATGAGCAACACCGGTTTTGGCTATTTTATTGATTTTTTACAGAGAAGAAAGGAGAGGGATAGAGATTAGAAACATCGATGATGAGAGAGAAACACCCATCAGCTGCCTCCTGCACACCCCCACCTGGGGACGTGCCCGCCACCAAGGTCCATGCCCTTGACTGGAATCGAACCCGAGGCCCTTCAGTCCGCAGGCTGACAAAATCGATACATGGGCAAAACTAAAAGGACAATTTTTAAAATAAAAATAAATTTAAAAAGTCTTCCTAGGACACGTCTTTCCCATCAGACTCCTCCGCGGCCTTGGGTCCTGGCCCGGGGACCATGCACCAGATAAGGATGCTAGGAGCTGTCAATCAAGATGCAGTTGCCAAGGTTACAGACCTTAGCTCCTCTGCGCATGCGCCGGGGCTCGGAGGACCACCCAGGAGGTCCCGGGACAGAGGCCCTGGTCTGCGTGCACCTTGACCCCAGGGCCCGCAGGGACGCCATCGCGCGCCAACAACCCTCCATCCGCACTGCGTCCAGATCCCAGCCATGCATTTGCCCCCCCAAATCGGCGATATCGGTCCCTGGACTGACAACAACATCCTCCCAGCAGCCCCCGCGGTTCCAGGGCTACAGCCCCCCACCTCCCGCCCCCCAAAGCCCATGTGCGCATGCGCAGGACAAGGTCCAGCGCGAGCGCGCGCGCACAGGAAACGGCGCGTCCCCGAACAGGGCCGACGGCGCGTGTGCGTGCGTGCGTGCGTGCGTGCGCGTGCGCGTTACGCTCCAGGTCGCGCGTATTCCCCGAGGCGGCCGTGGGCGCGCATGCGCAGCCGGGCTCGAGCGTGCCCGGCGTCGCCCAGAGCGCGCGTGCGCGCGCCCCCTCCCCTCCCCCCTCCCCCCGCCCTCACCTGGCGGACCCGGCGGCAGCAATGGCGGCGCCCACGGCCTCCCTGCGGCCCGTCACGCACTTGCTCTTTGACATGGACGGCCTCCTCCTCGGTAGGAAGCATCCCGCGGGGGTGAGGGACGGCGCGGGGCGGCCGCTGCGGGCCCTCGGGGTCAGGGGTCGCGGGGGGCGGGGGAGGCGAAGGGAAGGGGGTGGCGGCCGCCATGACCGCGACCCCCCCCCCCCCCCGGAGGGGGCGTGCGCATGCGCGCGCTGGGGTCACATCCGGGGCACCCACTTCCGGTGGCCCCGCCGCCGGGCGGGGGTCGCGGGGCGCAGAAGGACGCACTTCCACCTCCCACCTCCGCCGCCGCCGGCCAGGAGGTGCGCGCGCAGCTCGGGCCTCAGTTTCCCCGGCTGCACCGAGGCTGCACCCCTGACCTGGCCGGTTGCACGTTGCACGTTGCCCAGAAGCCGCCCATCCTGCACCTGCCGGTCCCGGGACCTCTGACCCGTGTCCTGAGGCATTTGCAAAGCCCTCGATCGGGGGTGGGGGTGGGGGGAATTTGGGGTGTTGCAGGCCGGCCTCGGGGTGCAGGCTGCTGCACCTCCCGCTTTAGAGGGGATTGCACCTCGCATTGCCCAGCCCCCCCCATACCCGTGGGGCGCGGGTGCCAGGACCCTCCGGAGTGTCCCGCCAGCTCAGAATCCAGAATCCATATATATTTTTTTTTATTAAAAAAACAAACAAACCCAAAAGCCTTAAGTTGAAACAGCAGCTTGCACGCAAGGAATACATGTGAGAGGCTCGCTTTGGGTGCACCCCGAGGCCCCCACCCTGGACACCCCGCCTTCACCAGCCAGGACGGCCCCGTGCACACAGACATCAGCTCAGAATATGCTCAAGGGGGTGGCCGCCGAGACACCCCAAGTCCGGACCCCATAGCCCCCTCCCCCTCCCCTCCAGCAGGCTTCCTAGGACAAAAACAAACCAAAAAATTACAAAATAAAAAAAAAGCAACACTTACTTATGTCCACCCGCTGGGCGCTGCACGTCTGCGGGCTGCGTCCTGTGCTAGAATCCTGGAGGAAACAGTTGCAGATAAAAAACAGAAACAGAAACCGGACCCAAGAGTCGCTCTGGGCTAACGGGGAGCAAACTCTGCAGACAGGACAGGGACAGGGACTGGCCCCAGGTCGCCCCGCTGCTCATCTCCTCCGGGGGCAGAGCTCAGAAATGCTTGCAGATCGATCCGGTTCTAAATATAAACACACACGGTCTGGTCTCTGCAAACACGGGGTGTGTGACCTTGACCCTGCTCGCCCAACAGACGGACAGTTGCCAGCTGGTTCAGTGCGAAAGAGACTTGATTGTTTTATTTTTTGTTTTCTTCTTTTTTTGGAAAAGGCCCACAATTAAAAGTCTCTTTTTAAATTAAAAAAAACACACAAATATATACACACACACACATATATATATATATATATATATATATATATATATATATATATGTATATACCCTGTTTCCCCAAAAATAAGACAGTGTCTTATATTACAATAGTTTTTGCTCCCAAAGATGCGCCAGGTCTTATTTTCAGGGGATGTCTTATCTTTCCATGAAGAAGAATAAGGCACACATGTATGGTTCAATGAAAATAAAGGAAATTTATTACCTGCAGACGGTACGGCAGTACGGTCGTTGTCAGCACAAACCAGACACACTGTGAGTCCTACAGGATCGAGAATTTACTCATTGATTCAATGACAATCGTGTCATCGTCTTCTGGAACATCATCCTAACCATCCAATTCCTGAATTTCCTGGTGAATTTCTTGTGACTCCGTTTCTTTTCAGAATCAGTGGACCAAATCTCTCATGGTTAGCAATAGCATTATGAGACAGAGCCTGGGGGGGGGGGGGCTTATTTTCGGGGGGGGATGCCTTATATTTCACTCAGAAGGAAACCTGTAAATAGGTCTTATTTTCAGGGAAACACGGTATATATATATATATATATATATATATATATATATATATATATTATTGATTTTTTTTATAGAGAGGAAGGGAGAGAGAGAAAATGAGTAAGAAACATCGTTGAGAGAGAAACATCCATCAGTTGCCTCCTGCATACACCCTACTGGGGATGTGCCCGAAACCCAGGTACATGCCCTTATATTATTGATTTCTTTACAGAGGAGAAGGGAGATAGTTAGAAACATCCATCAGCTGCCTCCTGCACACCCCCCTCTGGGGATGTGCCCTCAGCCACCAAGGCCCATGCCCTTGACCGGGAATCGAACCCGGGACCCTTCAGTCCGCAGACCGACGCTCTACCCACTGAGCTATACCAGTTAGGGCTAAAAGTCTATTTATGGACCCAGAGAGATAAAACGGACAAATTCTTAAGAAGGAAAAAAAAAGGGCCAAAACCGGTGTGGCTCAGTGGATAGA